GCCGCCAGAGGAGTAGATAGTAGAATGAGACCCTCTTTGGCCGTTAAAGCCGGCGGCCGAGAGACTATTACCCAGGACCACGCGACCTCGGAATCCGGATGGGACGCTGTATCCACGGGTCCCCGGGATCTTCTCGCCGGGCTGTATAGACCCGTCAGGCCTCCTGCCAGATGCTGGCATGGCCATGACGTTGATGGTGGGTGAGCCAGGGACATTCGGGAGTGTGAGAGTCGTTCCCGGACCTCCTGGTAAAGGTATCGTCTGCATTACCATCTGTCGGTCGTCCACCGCGCCTGTGTCTCCCTCGAGGGTGCCCTGTGTGATCGTAGGAGGATGAGACTCTGGCTGGGACGCTGACACATAACCTTCATGAGGGCGTGGCTGTGGTGCAGGCATGTGAGGTCCAGTGGCATCCACGTGCTGTGGAGCGGGCATACTCACATGAGCCACAGAGCCCGCGGCCACTTCAGCTTGCAATTCGGTAGTGTGCTGTGCCGCAGGTTGAGTTAAACCGCCCTGTGGTGGTACAGGCTGTACAAAGGCCCCATGTGGGACTGCAGAGTGTGTTGGAATCTGCGGGGATATAGTAGACATAGTTGTGGGCTGTGGGGAGAAGGGGGGCTGCGTGGGAGTGTGAGGGAGGTCATCGTCGCCGGGCTGTGGCAAAGACATCTGCACCTGGTGAACTACTATGCGAGGCACCGGTGTGGTGAGCTCTGGCTCTATCGGCCCCGGAACGAATGTGTGTTGCGGGCCCTGGGGCGACACGGCGGGCTGAGGCAGGGGAGCCGCCTCTGCAGGGGAAGGGTATAAATGGGGTGACTGTAGAACTTCGGGAGAGACATAATCTGGATAAAAATCTAGCTCTGAGGGGTGAAAGCCGTCGCCAATAATATGTCTGTAATCTCCCTCCTCATAGGTATAATCGCTGTAGGGGCTGTAGTCATAGTCGATCTTCGGGACATTATGGAACTCTCCCGGCTCGGGATGAGCGTCGAGACTTCCATGCGTTAAAGTCGCCAAGTCGGTCCTCCCGTCATATGACGACCGTCCGTCGCCCTCCTCGAAGTCGCTGGGGACGGACGACTGCTCGATCTCGCTCTCCCTTGGAGGAATCCCAGCCCCGCCGTGGAGTCCGTCCCGGTCGATGTACTGGTAGTCCTGGCCGGAGAAAGACCATTCTGAGGCAGGGTAACTAGCAACTGCTGGGTGCATGTCTGGTTGGTGGACTGTTTCCATGATGCTACCCAGCATGTCTTGGCCCATGTTGGATGTGCCTCCTATGGCAGATGGATGGTATGAACTGTCAATTGGGTGTAAGTCCTCGTTTAAAAGTGTTAAATCTCCATGGCCAAGAGTTTGACCATGAATCCTCATTTTAGGATTTTGATTTAATCCCCCTAGCAATGCATCCTCTTGCCCTACTTGCAATGGACCTTCTTCAGGCAGTCCCGCATACACTAAATTCTCATGTTCAAATTCGTTGTGTAAATGGCTGTGTTGCTCCGGCTGGTCGAGGGTCGCGCCCTCCGCTCCAAAGTGTCCAGTTTTCCTCTCTTCGTACCGATCATACTGTGAAATTCCTTCACCGCCCACAGCGATTTCTTGTCCCGGCTGTCTTTGGATATAGTTTCCTTGCTCATACTGTCTATGGAAATCACTTCCTTGTTCAAACTGCCCGTGAATGTCACTTGTTTGTTCAAACTGACTGTGAATATTACTTCCTTGCTCAGGCTGGCTGGAAATATCACTTCCCCCATATCCATACGGTGCTCTTACTCCTTCAGGCTGTGTGCTCACGTCTCCTGCCTGCAAATACTGCTCTGGAACCGAACCTCTCTGAACCTGTCCACCCTGTGTGAAAATAACTTGATTGTTTCCTCCTGAGCTTCCGTGAATGAATTGATTGTGGGCTGTTTCTCCAAAGCCAATGTCACCACCATAGTCTGCACCTTCCGCATCACCCTGTCCAAAGTCTGTTCTGATTGCCTCTACCGGGCCAAATTCTGTGTGGATTGCATTGTCTCCCCTTATACCCGCCGGATCTATGTGTGTTTCATGAATATCATACACCGTATTTCCGTGAACACCATCAGCATTCAAAGCATAATTATCTTGAGTCAGTTCGTGGTGCAAGTGAGAATTGGACATGGTGGACTGAGCGGTGCCAAGGTAAGAACCTGTTGCAGTGTCCCCAGTGAGTGAAGCTAAGGAAGAACTCCCCTGCGATGAGACAGAAGCAGAGGCAGCTCCCTGGCCGTGAAGCCCATTGCTTCCTCCGTGGTACTGTTGGGACGGATGGAAGTCCATGTGTGCATGGCTCGTGGACAGCCCGTGGCCATGTGCTTCGGACCCGGCGCTGCCCCCTAGTTGCGTTCGACCTATTATATATATATATATTATATATATATATATATTATATATATATATATATTATATATATATATATATATATATATTATATATATATATATATTATATATATATATATATATTATAT